AGTAGTAACTATCTGGGCTTTCAAAACGTGTAGCAAAGAGATGTTTACTGTAGTTAAGGTTGTTGAATTGTCTGAGACAGTAGTCTGTGAACTGAAAGCTAGGATGGTCCAGGCCGGAGTAAAGGTATCGCTGTATATATTGTAGTCTGAATGATTTGATGCGAGAGTCAATATGTATGAGACCTTGTCCGCCCTCTATCGGTGGTTGATAGAGAACTTTGCGCGCACAGCTGATTGACGACTAGCACACGGCCCCGGTAAGATAATGCTTTGACAAACTGTCTCCAATGATGAAGCTTGGTATCAATCTTGTCAGTGATATCAGTCCAGTTGTTGTCGCTGAAAGCTTTTGTATTCCCGATGTATATACCTAATATTTTCAATCCTTGGTTATTCCATTTTAGACCAAGGGGTTGGTCTGGTCGATTTTTCCATGATCCGGTCCATAGTCCTTCAGATTTGTTCATATTGATTTTTGCGTTTGAGGCATTTTGATAGATATGGAGCCAGTGAAGTAGTTTTTTGAAATCACTATTTTTGTGATAAGGAGAAGGAGAAAGGTTTTAAAAAACAGCAAACAGATAAGACAATACAGAGACACTTTCACTTTTTATTTTTGTATTTAATTTGCATTCAATATACACTAGTATATTTCCCGTACCATAAACTGCCTAGTATGTACCCTTACGCGTATTCATTTAACATATTGTCTGGCCATGGGGGTAATAACCTAAATCAGGGTTACAAAAAGGATCTTTTAAGTAATTGCGCCTACACATAACTTTTTTATGCCTGGGTGGACACCTTTAGGCGATCGAATATTGTCCTATTACGGAGTGAGCGCTTGTCAGCTCAGATTGCTAAATAGTTGTCAGAGTATGGTGCCACTAGTACATCGAAACTTGGTTGGCATTGTTCGCATGGCGACGAGAACAATTATGGTGAAGATGGTACTGTCAATTGCCCCTAGACTGAAGTCAGCGTCTATTGTTAAACCCCAAACAAGAGGAAAACATGACTAATACTGCGACAATCGTGACACCCTAGTGGTGTAGCATGCAATGGAACAGATTTGATGATCTGTGATATTTTTTGTTTGTTATTTAGCAACATTTATTTGAGGAGGATGTTCTTTCTGAAGAACCACCAGTGCTAGTGCTACAATTCAATTAGGTTATTTTATTTATTTATTCAATACACAGTTCAACGGGCAAACCCACTAACGCTGAGTTTTCACAGTTACTTGACACATATGTCTTGTTGGTTACCCTGGTAACGTGGGTCTATTGTTTCTCCCGGCCATTAATTCTTTATACGTTCTTAACGGTGCGATAAGGGATAGAAAAAACGGCACACACTGAAAACAGCCAAAGTGGGAGAAAATAGCACACCGGCATTCTGTCAGTCGTACGGCGAGTAAATTACATAGCTGTATATTCCGGCAAACAAATTGTTTTCTTGTGCTAATTAATCGGTGATGTTAACGGTAAAATCATGTTTGTTCATTTTCACTTTCGATATTCATAATATTAGTTATCTCTTTCATTGTATGAGTGCCACACATGGAAGACACAACATTACGGTTGTATTTTAAACATATATAAGACCCACCGGCCCATTGAAAAAAACGGCTATATATATAATATATATTTAGAAAGATATCTGATTAGTTTACAAACAATAATGCTCTACGCGAGTCTCTCACCAGAATACGGTACTAGCCATTATAATGTGCATGTTAATGAAACAAACACAAAAAAGAAATATTATTCAGAAGATGAACAAATTAACGATAAATTTGAATTTCTTATGGACAGCGATGACATTTCAATACCGCTTGCCCAGTTCATATTAATGTAATGTAATGTGGTGTGGTGTGGTGCGGTTTAGTCTCAGACTAGTAATACATATTACTAGTCTGAGGTTTAGTGTAGTATAATTTAGTCTCCGATTTGTTT